AAAATGAGGTAATTTCGACCATTGTTTCAGAAATGTAAACAAACCATTTTTATTTGAAATTACTTTAAAATTAATTATAAAATGTGTAATTTTTATTATAAAACATTATTATTATTTATTCTAAAAGTATAATTTTATTTGTTTTTATACAGTAAATAAAATCTTTTAGATAATTTAAGATTTTATTTAGAATTAATTTTATATTAATAAGTTTAACCAAAATAATGATTACAGTACAAAAGAACAAAAATTTGTTTATTTTTTAATACATTCGACTTTAGCTAAGTTTTCCTGCATATAAACTCTAAAAACCTTATTAGCATTATCAAACATATTATTTTTAAGACTAATTAATAAGAATTGAGTATTTGTAAATTCTTTTTGAATTATTTCTCCTATAAATTGAGTATAATTGAGATCTAAAGCTGAATCAATTTCATCAAATAAATAAAAAGGAGCAGGTTTGAATGTTAACATTGAGAATATTAAACAAAGAGCTATTAAAGATCTTTGTCCGCCACTTAAAGAACTCAACATAGAATATTTATCTGAAGAAATCTTTACTTTAATTTCAAATTCTTCAGTAATCAGTATATCAGAATTTTTATAGAAATAATTTAAAAACTTCTTAATTTCTTTGTTGATATGATTAAATGCCTTTCTATTCTCTTCATGTCCTAACAAATCTAATTTAGAAATATTATCTAAAATACTTTTTTTATCTTTTAGTAAAATTTCCATCTTTTCATTTAATTCTTTAACTGAATTAAAGTTTTTTTCAATTAATTCAAAATTAGAAGGATCCATTGTTATGATACCTTTTTTTTCAGTTAAAATCTTATTTATCTTGTTTCTATCTTTAATAAGTTTTTCATAAAAATCATCATCAATTTCTATAAGCTTATTACAGGTTTGTATTTTAACTTTCAACAATACATTATACTTCTCTAATTGTTTATCATCTAATGAATTAAAAACTGATACTGTTTTAATATTATTTGTTTTAATTTGTTCTAATATTTTACTCTTGTATTCGATTGTTGATTTAAGTAACTCAACCTTCCTTTTTTCTAATACG